AAAAAAAAAAAACCCGCCAAAAAAAAAAAAAAAAAAAAAAAAAAAAAGATAATGTGTCCAAAAGTAGAAATGACAGTCATGTCAAAATAAGTCTAATGAAAGATTGAACCTAATGTAAAAAATGTAGGATTATGTTGAATGACATCAAACCAAATAAATGGAAAGGTAAAGCATGTTCTAAGAAAGGAGAGAGCAGTATCACCGTGATGTCAGTTCTTCACAAATACCTATAGTGTCTTCATAAAATCCCTTTTTTCTACAATCAGTGTTTCTTAGAACTTCACAAATCTCACTTCTAAGCTTTACAAATAAGAACAAATGTTTAGTAGTAGCAGTGTTTTTCTAAACAATGTTGGGGGGTGGTTAGCTTAAAATGATCAAGGATTAAAAACTTACATTGGTAGCTTAATTATGAAAATATGAAAGTAAAGTATGTTCCCATAGGAATGGATGATTACCATTTAAAAGAGTGAAAATGGGCAGCAGACCTAAATAGACATTTCTCCAAAGAAAGATATACAGACTGCCAACAAACACATGAAAGAATGCTCAACATTATTAATCATTAGATAAATGCAAATCAAAACTACAATGAGATATCATCTGACACTGGTCAGAATGGCCATCATCAAAAAATCTAGAAACAGTAAGTGCTGGAGAGGGTGTGGAGAAAAGGGAACCCTCTTGCCCTGCTGGTGGGAATGTGAATTGATACAGCCACTATGGAGAACAGTATGGAGGTTCCTTAAAAAACTACAAATGGAACTACCATATGACCCAGCAATCCCACTATTGGGCATATACCCTGAGAAAACTACAATTCAAAAAGTCATGTACCAAAATGTTCATTGCAGCTGTATTTACAATAGCTAGGCGATGGAAACAACCTAAGTGTCCATCATCGGATGAATGGATGAATGGATAAAGAAGATGTGGCACATATATACAATGGAATATTACTCAGCCATAAAAAGAAACGAAATTGAGTTATTTCTAGTGAGGTGGATGGACCTAGAGTCCGTCATACAGAGTGAAGTAAGTAAGAAAGACAAATACCGTATGCTAACACATATATATGGAATCTAAGAAAAAAAAAAAAAAAAGGTCATGAAGAACCTAGGGGCAAGACGGGAATAAAGACACAGACCTACTAGAGAATGAACTTGAGGATATGGGGAGGGGGAAGGGTAAGCTGTGACAAAGCGAGAGAGTGGCATGGACATATATACACTACCAAACGTAAAATAGAGAGCTAGTGGGAAGCAGCCACATAACACAGGGAGAACAGCTCGGTGCTTTGTGACCACCTAGAGGGGTGGGATAGGGAGGGTGGGAGGGAGGGAGACGCAAGAGGGAAGAGATATGGGAACATATGTATATGTATAACTGATTCACTTTGTTATAAAGCAGAAACTAACACACCATTGTAAAGCAATTATACACCAATAAAGATGTAAAAAAAAAAAAAAGAGTGATATACCTTAAACTTCACTGGCTTTCACATTAAAAATTTACCTAGGGACCTTTACCAGGAGCTTCTTTCCAGTTCCAGGAGTTGAAAGTGTCTGCTGAGAATCCCATCCCCACCCCACGGGCTATCCTGAGTAACCCAGTGAATGAAGGAAACACGGATAAATCTATGAACTTGGATTTCATAATGATTTCTTAATATGACACCAAAGGCACAAGCAACACAAGAAAAAATAAAGTGGACATCATCAAAATTAAAATCTCTTGTGCATCAAAGGATACTGGAAAGACATCCCTACAGAATAGAAGAACATATTTGCAAATCATAAATGTGATAAGGTTTTATTGTCCAGAGAACATTAAAAAGCCTAACATATCAATCACAAAAATGCAAACAACTCAATTAAAAAACGGGCCAAGGGCTTTCCCTGGTGGCGCAGTGGTTGAGAGTCCGCCTGCCGATGCAGGGGACACGGGTTCGTGCCCCGGTCCAGGAGGTTCCCACATGCTGCAGAGCGGCTGGGCCCGTGAGCCATGGCCGCTGAGCCTACGCGTCCGGAGCCTGTGCTCTGCAACGGGAGAGGCCACAACAGTGAGAGGCCCACGTACCACACACAAAAAAAACAAAAACACAGAAAACGGGCCAAGGAGGTAAACAGACATTTATCCAAGGATAACATACTAGTAGCCAATAAAGACATGAAAATATTCATCACTAATCATCAGGGAAATGCAAGTCAAAACCACAATGAGATAACCACTTTGCAACCACCAGGACAGGTAGAATTAAAAAGTCAGAAAAGAAATGTCAAGGATATGGAGAAATTAGAACCCTGTACACTGCTGGGGGGAATGTAAAATGGTGCAGCCACTACAGGTAAGATGTTGGTAGTTCCTCAGAAAGTTAAACCTAGAATTAGCCTATGACCCAACTATTCCACTCCTGTCTTTACTGAAAGAGATGCTCAAATACGTGTACATGAATACTGGTTGCAGTACTATTTAAAATAGCTAAAAGGTGAAACATTCCAAATGTCCATCAGTGGATGAATGGATAAAGTGTAACCTGTACATAAGATGAGAATAATAGTCACAAAAAGGAAGGAAGCTCTGACACATGCTGCAACGTGGATGAACCTTGAAAACATGCTGAGGAAAACAACAGGCAGAAAAGGCCAATATTGTATGATTTTATATACATATAAGATCCAGAATAGGCAAATCTAGAGTCAGAAAACATTTTAGTGGTGACTAAATGGAGGTAGGAGGTAGAGTTATCATGGCTATTACTGCTTTTAATTCTTTTTCAATGGCGCTATAACTCACATACCATAACGTTCACTCTTTTTTTTTTTTTTTTTTTTTTGGGGTACGGGGGCCTCTCACTGTTGTGGCCTCTCCCGTTGCGGAGCACAGGCTCCGGACGCGCAGGCTCAGCGGCCATGGCTCACGGGCCCAGCCGCTCTGCAGCATGTCGGATCCTCCCAGACCAGGGCACGAACCCGAGTCCCCTGCATTGGCAGGCGTACTCTCAACGACTGCGCCACCAGGGAAGCCCCGTTCACTCTTTTAAGTGTAAAACTCACTGTTTTTTGTATGTCGCTCACCTGTGCAACCATCACTCTATAATCTGAAAAAGGAAATAATAGCTTTTAACGTTTCAAGTTTCACATGGACTAAAGCCTGATCTGACATAAATTTCCTTGTAGTGTAAAATGCACACCTGAGGTCTGTGGCCTCTGACACCTGTGGCTGTGCTAAGACCAGTCCTGCACGTAGTCTGGGGACTGGGGGTCCGAATTCCCACGGGGCAAAGGTCCCTGGCTGAGGGCTGCTGACCTCTAGCCCAAGAGATGGGGAAGGGGATGGAAGGCGGGCCTTCCCCGTGTCAAAGGTCACTTGTGGGACGGAACCTGACCCTTCGTTGCACGCGGTGACGTCACTGAGTCTTTGTTCTTAAAGGGCACAGGCCCAGGATGACCTCGCATCGGGCCGACCGCTCACCCCGAAGGTCACCATAACAGGACCCCCTGCCCTGTCCCATTCTCGTCCTTCCAGTCCCCGCTTCGGACAAGGGGCACTCCGCAAAGAAACTGAGTCAGGACATCCAGGTGCAGCAGGAGGACTACGAGGGGGCGCCGAGAGGCGGGCGGACGTCGAGTCCGCCTTGCAGGGAGGGGTTTCCGCTCAGAGACCTGTCCCGGGAAGGAGGCCAAGTAGGTACCGTCTGAGGCAGACAACACGTGACCTCAGCCGGCCTTTTGCTCGGGTTCCCAGGGAGTCCGTGATGTTGTCCAATTAGGATCGGCGGGGGCGGGGCCTGGAGGACTAACCTCTCATCTGTAAGTAGGGGCTAGAGAACTGCCCAATCAAGTGTCAGGGAAGAATTTGAAAACCCGCCAATCAGGCCGTGGAGTCCCGAACTCCGTCCAATCAGGGCGCGGGGCCCAGGGCACCGTCCAATTAGGGTCGGGGGCGGGCGCAATTTCGGCCCGTGTTGTCGTGGCTCTTGTACTTAAGCAGCGCTGGTGCGCACGCGGAGCTCGTGAGTACGCCGAGCTCTTGCAAGCCTGGCCCACGCTCTTCTAGGTGTACGTTCCCCATCGCTCTCACCTGCCCAAGTCTCGGGGCCGCTGGCATGACGCCGGGGAGAGCTCAGAGCGAGGAGGAGATGGTGAGTGCCCGAGCTGGGGCCGGAGACCAGGAGGGGCTGGTTCGAACCGGCAAAGAACCCGCTGGAAGCTGACGGGGTCCCGCGTCTCCCTCCCCGCTCCCCCTGCTAGTCTCCACCCCAATAAGCCCTCCGCCCCGGGGTGGGGTCTTGGCGTCCTGTCCCGTCCCCACGCGGGCGTCCCTCCCCGAGTCCTTTGCTGGGTGGGGTCGGAGGGAGGACAGGACTTGGGGAGGGCGGTTGGGGTGGCTGCAGGGGACCCACCCTGGACCTGACGGTTCTGCTTTCACTCTGGCCTCAGTTTTCAGTAAAGGTAAAATAACGGATCCTTTCCCCCTCTCTTTCCACTTAGAGTAGTAAGTTCTTCAGCTCTGTTCTTGGTCTCCTGGCGCGGAACGTGTTGTTTTGACTCGTGTTGTTCTGGGAAGGGTCTCAGGAATGTCCTGTCTTCCACTGCAGTTGTGGGGAAAATGCAGAAAGTTCTGTGGAATTAATTGAAGAAAGCTCAGCTAAAGTTGGAGTGGAAATGGGCCTATAGGGAGAGCTCTCTGCGTCCCCCTCCCTCTCCCCAAGCTTCATCAATTACTCCAAACAGGTAGAGACCACCGTCTACATCTCCAACGGGAAGGCGCATCTTACTACCCAGCAGAAAGAAGAAAACCTCTCTGGGCCAGGACAGCCCAGGCACTGAGAAGCCTCCATATTTTGGACGCCCAGCTCCTCCAATGGACTCCTCGGTTATTACGGCCCCTCCGAACTACTCCTTTTCCCTATAATAGTAAGCGCCCCTTCATTATTCTCTGGGTTTGCCGGCGGTCCGTCATAGATTGCAATTACTCCCTCTATTGCTGAACTCACTTTTGCTGGTAAGATAAGTGGCTATTACACTGATAAACTTGACAGTACACTGAAATAAGGTCAACAAAGAGGTGGATTCATGTCTTTATAAAAATAATAGTGACTCTTCCATACAAGTTACAGAGTTCCTGACGCTGTGGTCCTGTTCCATTTCCTGTTAACACGTGGCATTCAGATTAATGAAAATTCTGTAAAATGTGACCTGTAAAAGCAACTAGAGTTCAATTCTGATTAATTTACAAACACTGTGTTACCATGAGGGTATTAGCTGATAACTGTTACCTGGGTTCTTGGAGCCCTTAATCAGTAGAAATTGATCAGGCCAGGTGAAGAGTTCAGGCAAGGCTTTATTGAGGTTCCTGCTACAGCACGAGGGAGCGAGAACAAGTAACAGGTGCCTTTGCTGGATCCAGGAGGAGGGGCGGGCACCTTAAAGGGGTGAGGGTGGGGGTAGGTGGGTGTGTCGAGCCGGAGGGGGGTGGCTTAGATGGTCTGGCCACCCCCTTGGTGGTGCAGTGTGCGGGGATCATGCACAGGACTCTGCTTTTGTTCCCGTACCTCGGAAGTGGCAATTGGGTTTTGGCCTTTTTGTGTCTTGTTCTTAATTTGCCCCCACTGTGCATGCGTGCCGTTATTTTTAGTCCCTTAGAGTTTCTTTGCATCTGTTGCTGGAGGAGATGGTTGTCCAGGTGCAAGCACTGCAGCAAAGGGTCCCAGGTCCCAGCCTGTCTCAATGCCTGTCTTCTGAAAGGAATAAGCAGGATCCAGTTATTAAAACCGTAAAAGTGCCCTAGAATTTTCCTCTACGTTATCCGTGAACACAGGTGGAAGCAGGGATCCTGCAGGCTCCCATTCACACTCTGGGAGGAGGGGCTTTGTCTCCTGTAAATGGCCCACGGAGCTTGAAGCAGGGGCATCACCTGGGGTGGGGGACAGGCTGAGCGCAAAGCTGAGCCTGCGAGGGCGGTGAAGGGAGGTGCCCTGGGGTCTTGCTGCCCCCCTCACCCCATGCAGGTGGCCTCCAGACCATGGAACTACCACAGGAGGAGCTGTTGATGCCATGATCATGAGGGGAGGGGACCCACTTCCAGTAGTGCTGGGGGTAGTGTGTCCTCTCTGAGGTGTGCTGTGCTTGCTGTGGGGCTGCTCTTAAATCGTGTGACTTTTGCATTAAGTTAATGATGCCAAAATGATCTTGGCTCTGTGCACCGATGCGGAACAGAAATATGGAGAGAGAGTTTTGAGGAAAAGAAAGAATAGCTGGATTCTTTACCAGGCAAAGGGGGGAACACAGTAGGCTAGCGCCTCAAGAGCTGTGCCCCCTCAAGAGGGTAGAGAGAAGTTTTTTATACTCAGGACTCTCGGTCTGGGGTGGGTGATAAGGATCAAAGTTGTGAAGGTCTTGCATTTTTTTCTTGCATTATTTCAAAGTGGTCACAGCTGGCGTTAGGCAGCCTGGCAACCGGGTCTGGTATCCCTGAAGTTATAGGCCTGTGAAATAAAGAGCGCTACAAGGGAGTGTAGGGGGAGAAGAGTGCCAGGTGCAGAGTGTTAATTCATGTGGATTCCTAGAGTAATCAGCTTTGGGAAGGACAGGTCTAGCTACAGGTGTGTGTTAGTAGTAACAGCTACAGAATAACCAAGGTTGCTTATCTCTTTCAGGCCCATTTGGCTGGTCCGTGCCTACGCCCGTTTGCTTGTTTCTGTTTTGCTGCAACATTAATAACAATATAAACACCTGTGGACTCAGCCCTCAGGTGTACAGGTAGGCCCTGGTACCTGTTGGCATCTCCACACCTCCTGTGCTTCTCCCACATCTTCTCTCCCTCCTGTTGCCAAGGTGACCTCTGTCCTGATCCTTTGTTATTATTCATACCTTTACCATCTCTCATCACCAAGCAGTGTGTCGTCTGATTTTGCCCCTTCAGTTTCCAATAAGTGAATGTTAGTTCGTAAATCACCAGTAATGTCACACAGAAGTTTCTCTGGGGTTTCTCAGCCCCAGTCTGTTTCACACGTGCTGGTGTCTAAGGCTCAGCTCTCCCCTTGACTCATGTGTTCCAGTGCCTTTGCTGCCTGGGTTCTTCCAAGAGTTTCTTTTCTTTTTTTGGCTGCGCCATGGCTTGTGGCATCTTAGTTCCCGGGCCCCCTGCAGTAGAAGCGCAGAGCCCTAACCTCTGGATTTCCAGGGAATTCCCCAAGTGCATTTTTTGATTAGCTAGCAATGCTGCGATAGTCATTCTTCTTTTTATCTCCAAGTACAAGATGCGACTTGAGTTTCTGCACTTCAGAGAAAAAAGCGTGGCTTCGTAGCTTATGGATAAGTTTAAATTTACTCAGAAAATGCTGGTCGTGTCTGGAGTGTATTCTTGCCCCGCTGTTTATTTCTTCCTTGTGGTCCCCATCGCTGAGTGACCTCGATAAATGTTTGTCCACCTCGAGTGGGAGCCAGGGTCTCTTCGTGGTTACGTAGGGTTCTTACCGGATGAGGGTGTGGTGGTTCATCTTCTGTGTGATGTGTGTATTTGTATGTTTGTTGATTTCTTCAGTTTTCTTTAGATGCTCTGGGCATGAATCCTCTTTCGTTTGCAGGCACTGCCGATATTTTCTCCCCATGTGTGGTTTATCTTTTCATCCCCTTTATTCTGTGGTGAGTGAACTCAAGGTTAACAGGTCAGTCTCCTCCTTTGTAGCTTCTTTTTTATTTTCCTTATATAAGAAAAATCTGTATACAGAAGTCATGGGACACTTGCTTTTAACTTCTTAAAGTACTTCCCTGGCCGTCCAGTGGTAAAGACTCTGTGCTTCCACTGCAGGGGGTGCGGGTTCGATCCCTGGTCAGGAAACTAGGATGCCTCGGGGCTCGGCCAAAACCCCCCCCCCAATAATCTGCATTAAATGGATTATTTTACATGACTTTGACAGTGTCACCCACCCTCCTACCCCACCTCCCATAGACAGCTGTTTGTCCTGCGCTGGAGGAGATTCCTGCCCCGTGTCCATTGTTTCCCCAGGTCTGAGTCCCTCCTCCTGCTAATGCTGTATGTCCCCAACTACTGTCCGGACTTAAATGCTTTGATGTGTTTTAGGGAAAGTTCTTCCACCTTGTTCTGTAGGAAACTTGGCTATTCTTAGACATTTGGCTCTCATTTCAGTTTTTAGAAGTCGTTTTTCATAAACAAAGCAAAAAACCCGACCTAGTTTTGGATGTAATGGAATTTTGTTAACACTCTGCATCTGTTTGGGAGAGTTGCTATCGTGATGGCATTGCGTCTCTTTTCCGAGAACACGTGCTCTCTCTTTCTTTCTACGTTGATGTCGTTCGGTAACACTTTATAATTTTCCCTTTATGATCGTTTCAGGGACTTCCCTGGCGGTCCAGCGGTTAAGACTCCGAGCTTCCATTGCAGGGGGCCCGGGTTTGATCTCTCGTCGGGGAACTAAGATCCCGCAAGCCAAGTGGTGCGGCCGAAAAGATAAAAACCATCATTTTATGTCCTTCATTAGAGAGTGCCGTGGAAGGAACCACAGCTGTCCGCGCTATGTTTGTCTGTTTTACTTTCACACGGGACATTTCACTTCTGATACTTCCGGTCACCAGAGCTATAGGCGTTTCCCAGACGCAGCAATTCTGTGACACCAACCAGGTGTCCTACAACCCAACTCAGTTCTGACACCGTCCACCTGGAGACAGTGTCAGACCCCACAGGTTAAGGGCTCAGTCCCTAAGGACCGTTCCCCCACCTTAGATGCTAATCGAAGGTAGTTGGTCCCTACGTTGCCCACAACTTCTGTCTGACTTGGCTACAAATCAGAGTTTCCCATCACCCCCTTCTCAGGTTCAGTTAATTTGCTAGAGTGGCTCTCAGACCTCAGGGAAACATTTGCTTATGTTTACCAGTTTAGTGAAGCATATGATAAAAGATACACACGGACGTCCAGATGAAGAGATACACAGGGCGAGGTCTGGGAGCGTCCCGAGTGCAGGAGCTTCTGTGCCCCTGGACCTGGGGTGTGTCACCCTCCTGGTGTGGATGTGTTCACCTTGAAGCTCTCAGAACCCCCTGCTACTGGGATTTTAAGGAGGCTTCTTCACACAGGCGTGATCACTTATTCACTCCGTTTCCAGCCCCTCTCTGGAGGTTGGGGGGTGGGGCTAAAAAGCCCAAGCTTCCAATCATGGCGCAGCCTTTCTGCTGACCAGCCCCATCCCGGAGCCCACCCAGTTGCCTCCACAGAACGAAAGATGCTCCTGGTGCACTTACCGCTTAGGAATTTACAAGGGTTTTAAGAGCTCTGTGCCAGGAACTGGGGTAGGGATCACTATATAAATTTGGTATTATTTCCCAGACATACTTTAGGAGTTAAAATCTCTAACAAATTGAAAAGGTGCCATTAAAGTTAGTTTTAATGGTCTAGGTTATCCTCTAAAAATGTCTTTTAGCTGCTGTTACTAGTGACTCACAATGCACCAAGATCTGTTTTTGTATCGCATTTCTGGAAACTTACCAAAACCCCTATACTCTGATTTTAAGCTTATTCTCTGGTTCAACTTCTTTGTGGATCTTCCATATGTAATGCTTAGAGTTATTTCATGTTGGACTGTATTTGATTTACAATGTGATAGTTTCAGATGTACAGCAAAGTGATTCAGTTATACATATACATATATCCTTTTTTGATTTCTTTTCCTATTTAGGTAATTATGGAATATATATTTTTAAATTTTATTTATTTATTTTTGGCTGCGTTGGGTCTTCGTTGCTCCACGGCATGTGGGATCTTCCCAGAGGAGGGCTCGAATCCGTATCCCCTGGATTGGCAAGCGGATTCTTAACCACTGCACCACCAGGGAAGCCCTATTATGGAATATTAAGTAGAGTTCCCGGTGGTCTTGTTGGTTATCTATTTTATATATAG